AATTAAAATCAAATAAATCTATAAACATATAAAAATCTTAAAAATAGACGGTATAAATAATATGTTGTAAAATGTAATATTTCTGACTTAACGTTAAAGCATCCGATGGATTTTAAAAAATGAATGACCTTCCAAGATGATATCTCCGATGGAATTGCAACTTTGTATAAACTTTTTCCGTATAATTTTCCCAGCAAATTATATATTCCGTTTTGATGGGCCCCACTGAAGTGTGGCATTCAGGCTTGCGTGTGGCTGTTCTCCTCCATGCGCTAATTCTCTCTCGTAAATTTCCCTCTCTCCCTCTCTATGTATATCTAAATTCTCACTCTCTCTCTCTCTCTAAATTTCCCTCTCATAAGTTTCCCTCTCATTCTCTCTCTAAATTGCCCTCTAATAAAAATATAAAATGATCGCTCCTTCTAAATTCTCTCTCTAAAATCAACGAGCTAAGTCTCAAATTTTAATCTCTATCTAAATAAATTCTTACAATTGTCGTTCACACACGCACTCTCTCTCTAAAATGATCTCTGGTTAGAACCTCTCTATAAGGGACGAAAAGAGCCTTCCTTCTCATTGATCTCAAAGCGGTGCTTTCATGGCTTCCAAGTTTCAGAAGTGACCACCACTGAGCTTATGTGAGTGGTTTGATGCCCTATAATACTGGACTACTGTCTTTATTACTCTGAGATATCGAAACAGTTGTTTCATAGATTTTATGCCCTAGAAATCATTGTATTCCATAAGGATCAGAACTCCTCGAATTTTTAGTGCTCGGTACCTTCCCGATTCGGGAAAATTTATCTCCAGTTTTGTTGGTCCAAATCGCAAGAAATAGCCATTTGAAGGATCGATGTATACTGAAACTTGATCGATCATCTGATTTGATAACGTTTTCTCAATCTGAGCCCTAATTTTGAAGGAGTTTTCTGTATAATAACGATCATTAATCTCAAGATTCTCAACTATGGCATTGGAAGCCTGAAACCCATTGATAGCTGGATCTTCTCATATCCTTCTTCTCCACTTAAATTCAGAAGAAAAAGGTTTTATTGATCACGAAAATGGGATCAAGCACTGGAAAGAGAGAGTACCAGTTTCTAAAGGAGCTGGGTCTGGGCTCTCGCAATTTTGGTTGTTTTGCTAATGGTGTGTGGAAAGGGAATGGACCCACTGTCACTTCTTTAAATCCTGCAAATAATCAGGTGCAGTTTAATTTATTAATCTATTTTGATTTATTGTTGATGGAAATTATTGTATCATGAATATGTAATTGATTGATCAGAATCATTAACATATATTGGTTGGATTAGTATTTTTATATCTTTTATATAGGGAAAATTAGCTAAGTTGTATCCTGGATATAGATATCGTGGATGTATTTGGATGTAGAGGTTTTAATTAATGTATTCTTGTGAGGAGATAGCAATATATCTGAATTTTTTAATGAATTTATTGAAAATTATCACAATGAGATAACTCTATTTCTGAAATTAATTTCCAGAATCTAATTAATTGCCCAGTGTTGATTAGTGATCTGCTGAAAAAACCAATGTAAACAGGCTGATAGCCCATTGTTTGCATTAAGGGAAAGGTTACTATAGTCCAAAGTTACGGCGTAATCATCGTTCAATGTAACGATGGACCGTGGTAGAGATTTTGAGTGGAGCCCACCATTTTGGTTTGTGTCGTCCCACTCTTTATCTCTGTTACCATCACCGTTCATTCGACAGTAATGACTCTAATGGACCATGGTTCTCCAGTGTTCATTGGACTGCAGTCTCCCTTGTATTAATGTCGAATCACTGTTTTTTCCTCAATAAAAAAAAAAAAATGTTGAATCACTGCTAACATACATGGGCAAGCTTAAATTCCTGGTAAATGAAGTCAAGGAATGCTTGTAAATGAGAAGTCGTGCCCCTGATTTTGAATTAATCATTTTGTAAAATCACAATTCAAAGCAGTATTACTAAAATTTTGTAACCTGCTCATATTATCTGCTGTGTATTCCACAAAAAGAAGGAAAGGATATTTTTATTTGTTTTGATGAAAGAATGACAGGAAATCTTCAATCTTATATTCTCAAAATGTTCAATTAGATGCAATTACATGGCCTATGTTGACTTAAAAAATATGCATCACATTCAAGTTGATTGTCAAGTGCTTGCCAAGTTACACTCCATTATTTTTTCTTTATGTTTGGTTTCAATATAAAAAGAAATAAGCTAACCTGTTTCATTCTACCTTTGTGATCTCGGAGGACTTCCAGAGATGGATGAGTTGTTAAGTTTCTCCAGTTGATTAGCATTGTTTTAGGTGTTTGTTTGATATCCTTGTCAACATACTGTAAAGAGCAAGGTGTATATGGTTGGTGTAAAAATATTCGGAATTTTCCTTAATGAAAAATTACAACATCTATAGAGATGATCCTTCTGGAGTTCTTTCTTGTATAATGCTTTTGGCGATAGCTAAACAAAGTTATGTTTGAGTAGTGCTTCTTGTTTACATTGTTCTGTTGACTTACAGTTTTTATTCTTTTCTCTGAGTAAAATCTGAGTATAAATGACCATTTAATGCATCATATGTAACTTCTTGCTTTCTTTTGTTCTCAGGCCATAGCTGAGGTAGTGGAAGCTTCCACCCAGGATTACGAGGATGGCATGACTGCTTGTGTTGAAGCTGCAAAAATTTGGATGCAAGTAAGCTGTTATTGGGTTATGCAGATGAAATTTATGTTTACTTGCTCCTTATTGATTGAATGTGTTTATGAAGGTTTTTTATCTGCTAACAGTATTATTTTGTAATTTTGCCTTGGAATTGACCATGAGTATGGCACTATGGGTGGATCGGGAGCTTGCTGCATTGATTAGCTTAGTTAGAAATTGACTTCATATTTCTAATGTACATTTGTGAAATTATTTATGTTCATGTCGTTCCCGCCTTTTGGAATTGATGAAAGTCCTTGTTAGTTCAATTCTTTTACGTCACAAACATATTGTTTTTTTTTCCTTTTTTCATTTTTTCCATTGGTTAATTGATCTCTCAATCCTGTAAATGTTGCTTATGCCAATACAGTGGTTCCAACTTTGTTTTCTAGTACCTCTTATATTTTTATGTTTACAGTGTAGTTTTCATTGTTTATTGTGTAGTCATTATTTTGATAATGTCTCAATTGCTATCTGACATGAAGTGACTGTTTGTCAGTTGTTCGGCATATTTAAGTATTCTCTCTTCTACTTGCTGTTTTAATTTGTGATAACATCTTTGTTCCCCTCTTATTATCTTGGATGCCCATACTACTCTCTGTATAATTTCCATTTCATTATGGGGGGCTATGCTATAGTAAGGTCATGTTGGGGCCCTTTTCTAGGTAATTATTCTAATGTGTTGCAGTTTCTGTAGTTCAAAACCTAGCATTGTTTTGTTGGCCCTGTATTATTAACCTGTTTCTTCCCAGAACATCGCATCCTAAAAAAATTAAAGGCTCTGGTAATAACTTCTTCTGTGTGTTTAACTGCTTCTAAGAAACTTTCTAGATGTTGCACCATATGCGGTGTGGAATCTTTTATATTGGAAATTGTAATTAAGTCCTCATTTATACTTATTTCTTTTATATGTTTCTTGATTGTTATTTTCTGATGTGCTAGAGTTGTATTATGTCTGATGCTTAGAGTGATAAAAAAGTTTATCTTTGGATGTGATTATTATTATTATTGTTATTGTTTTTACTCATTCCACTTTCAGATTAGAAATACTCAAGAGCGATTGACACTTCTGTTGTATAATTACTTTTCTTTAGATTCCTGCACCGAAGAGGGGTGAGGTTGTTAGGCAGATAGGTGAAGCCCTGCGCTGTAAATTGCAGCAGCTTGGGCGGCTTGTATCACTTGAGATGGGAAAGATACTTCCTGAAGGGATTGGGGAGGTTCAGGTAAGGTTCCTTATCTTCTATGACCTGTTATGTTTTGGGATTCCTATTTATAAGACCCTTTGTTATTCAATTGCACCATCTTTTTGGACAAAGAAACCTAAACATATAACAATCATTTAGTTAATAAATTGGTTATTGGATTCCTGTATAGGACTTCTGCTGTTCAACTACGACATCTTTTTGGAAGAGGAAACTTAACATATTACTAAATGAATTTCCTAAATAAATTGTTTCTTCATAATACAACCATGCCATCATAATTGGACAAAGAAAAGTTAGCATGGGGCAATCTTCCAGTTAAGAAACTCTTATTGGAGTGTTGCTATCATTTCAGGAAACATTTTGGGCAAAAATATAAACGCCTATAAAAATTCTGACACCACTCAATTGAAATGCTTACCCACATGCTTTTGGGGTACCAGGCTTCTCCTAAATGAAAAAGAGGCCTAAGTACCAGACTTGAACAGATAAGCTTTCATTATTGGCCCCCTTTCCAGGGGTCATTTGCAGCTCCCAAGCATTCCATCCCTCATTACTCCTACATTGCTATTCTGTTTTTTGATCGTTATCCTGCTTTGTTTATTTCTAATGATATAATACCATTATGAATTTGATTTTCAGGCAAAACTTAGAAGAGTAGGCCTCAAAACAATAAGAATTCAAGTGTCTTAAGTTCTTTTTCTAATATCTATTATCGACTTGGAAAGTTTTGAGGGTTATGCTAACATATTGAAATATAAAGAGAGAAAGGCTAACCTTTTCTTTGCTGCTTCATTTTTATTATGGTCTTCTTTTTATGTGGAACCATTGTTCATGTTGTTCTTGGTTGAAACATTTATCTTGAATGATTAGTATATAAACATGTGGCTGCTTTCTTCTACTTGTTGACATGTGAATTCTGCAGGAAATTATTGACATGTGTGATTATGCTGTTGGATTAAGTCGACAGTTGAATGGATCAGTAATACCCTCAGAACGTGAGTACAAACATTATTCTCAACATTTTTATGGTGTTAGTTTCTTGCATTCTGTTTCCAGTTCATTTTGTTTTCTTTTGATGTCCATCTCATGCAGATATTATAGTCCAATTGGAAACCCTGTCATCTGTATATTGTTTTCACATTTGAAGCATCTTAGTGATGGTTTGAAGTTTCTAGTTCATTAAGTGCTTATATATTTTTGTTTTTATTTGTTTTTGATCTGCCTGAGGTTGATCAGTCGCAAAGCACATCTTTGGGCTCCAATGTTTTTTGTTTGAGGTCCTTTGAGGAGGTTCTTCCCATTTTAGAGGCAGTACTATGCCATCACATGGAATTTGTTTTCTGAATCATACTATGTATCATGTGAAAAATAGTCCTCTGATCCTTCTCTGCCGTTACTGAATAAGTTTCTTATAGGTTCTATTGTCATGCCAAGCATGCTGGAATTTTTATTTCTTTTGATTGTTTGTAGATCCTTAAAGAGCATTGTTTTCTGAACTCTAGAAAAGCAACTAATTTGGAAATTATGTAAATCATGGGTATCAATAGCTATATATCTTATGTTTCATTCTTAGACATGCTTTCTAGTCACAAACCTTCTTATGGCATATCTACTCTATGAACTCATTATTTTGAAAGTTATGGCTTATGGGATTTTTAATTTTAACAGGTCCAAACCATATGATGCTGGAGGTAAGAAAGCTGTTCATTAAAGATCAATTTGTAACTTTATTTTAGCTTTTTTGGAGTAAGGGGCTACTTATGCAACATTATGTATACACGGTCGCAGGTTTGGAATCCCCTAGGAATTGTTGGTGTCATTACAGCTTTCAACTTTCCATGTGCTGTTCTCGGTAAGCATTGAATTATCATATGAGTGAGCATATGCTGCTTCGCTCATTTTGCATTAATAAAATTTCTTGATACATGGCATTGAGTTTCTAAATTTAAGTCATTTAATTGCTCAATTTTGTTGTACCTAGATTATTGTTCATTCCAGAATTTATTTGTAGTTTTCTTAAGATCCTAAGATTTGGGATACGATTCTTTTCAATAATTTAGAACTTATGTGGTTTGTGTCCCAATTTTCTCCCACCTTTTACCAGTGATATTATTTTGACATACTCCTCTACATTTTGATGCTTTAGGATGGAATGCATGCATTGCTCTAGTCTGCGGCAATTGTGTTGTTTGGTAAGTTCGGAGATTCTTGAGCCTTATCCGACTTTTTAGGATTTGCAATATCGAATTTAATGCCATTGTTACCATTGTAATATCTGTTCTTTGTCTAATGTGAAATAGGAAACAATTAATATATAAATTCCATAACCAGCGGGTATATTCTTGATATTTAATTATTATAATTGGTTTTGGTTTAGTAATAAAATTTAAATTTTTAAAAATATGCAAAGTCCAATACTTGTTTCTTTGCATTTCTGTATGCCCTGGCATGATTAGTGCAGCCGCTTGCTTTATAGTAAAATCTCCAAGTAAGAATTTTGAATCAAAATTTATTTCCTCCCATTCAACTTGTCATTCATTTAGTTATGTAATCTAATGAATTCTTGATGAACTATAATTAAACATGCTGATGATATAGTTTTTGCAAATATATCGGCTTAGGAAAACATACTATATGGGATATATTTTATTTAATCTATTGACTTAGTCATATAGGGAAATCATCCAAAGAAGTTAATCGACTTCTCTCACTACCTTATATTGGCAGGAAGGGTGCTCCAACAACTCCATTGATCACAATAGCGATGACTAAAATTGTTGCAGATGTCCTGGAGAAGAACAATTTACCTGGTGGTATTTTCACTTCCTTCTGTGGTGGTGCTGAAATTGGCCAGCAAATTTCTCAAGATACACGTATACCTCTTGTATCATTCACTGGAAGCTCTAAGGTGTTGGCTTCTTTCTATTTTATACTTACTCTCATGAATATGATTTTTTTTTTTTGTTATTATTTATAGGGAAATTTATCAATTACCCGTGAGAGATGAACAAATTAACACCTTGATATCTTTTGATTTAATTTCAAAATACCTAATAAAATAAACACCATCTTGAGTTGGAATCGTTGCAAATAGGTTAGAGATAGTTTATCATATTGATTATTTGATGAAGTAGACTGGATGTTCAAAGAATATTGCACGAAAAGATAGAATAGCATTCAAACTAAATTACTACAAACTCAATAAAGTAGAATATACTGAAATAGTTGGAAGTGTTTCCTAAATATGTTAGTTAGAAACTATAAGAAAACCTATTATTGTTTTAAAGGATGATGAACCTCAATCTGGGACTTTGTGCTTTATGTTCTTATGCACGCAAACCATTTTCAGAAGAATATTGATAATGTTGCAAATTTCTGATTTTATAAACGTTTTACAGGTTCATATAGTACTAGTGTTGGTGGATACAGGCATTATTGCTGATTATCTTTCGTATCTACTTCAAATCCCAATAAGATTCACCAGAATTCAATAATAAAAAGCAAAAAGAATATGAAAACAAAGATGCCAGTGTGGAACCTCAGTATTTCTCTTCAAGTGTAAGACTGGACCTAAGCTTCTGGTTCAGGTTCAAATTCCATGCTTGCTTAACTTTGAACAACTCCCAGTCACATTGCAAACCAGCGATTGAAAACATGGACCATGGCTCGGTCTTGCTAGGGTACCAAGCTTGAGCCAGTGATTTGACTTGGCCCAGTCTCTGTAAAAATAACACAGAAGGGTCCATGTCTGGTGACCCTCAATAGTACCCAGTTCTCTTCCCCATCCAAGTCATTCAGGCGAGTCAAAAACTGGGTCACGGAGGTTTGAAACACTGGTATAAATATTATAGCATGTACAAGTTGCTCACTCACATAACCACTCTGTGCTCTGTCGTGATATTGTAATGTGGCATCTTAGATACTTAAATGAAACTTTGTACACCTCTTCTATGACTTCCTCTAGTTAGATAGAATGAAACTTTTTATACCTATCCTCGGAAAGATTGTCAGCAACTAGGCATAGTGTAGTCGTCTTTTAGTTTATTAGTATTAGTTAGTCAGTTGTTTCATTTGAATCCATGTTGCTTTAAATAATTGGCTTCTATCTGATTAGGTGGGACAAGTACAAAGGATAGTCAGTGAAAGGTTTGGAAAATGCTTGCTCGAGCTAAGTGGAATTAATGCAGCACCTTAGATACTTAAATGGAACTTTGCACACCTGTTCTATGACTTCCTCTAATTAGATAGGATGAAACTTTTTATACCTATCCTTGAAAAGATTGTCACCAACTAGGCATATGTAGTCTTCTTCAAGTTTATTAGTATTAGTTAGTCAGTTGTTTCATTTGAATCCATGTTGCTTTAAATAATTGGCTTCCATCTGATTAGGTGGGACAACAAGTACGAAGGTTAGTCAGTGAAAGGTTTGGAAAATGCTTGCTCGAGCTAAGTGGAAATAATGCAATTATAGTCATGGATGATGCGGATATCCAGCTTGCTGTTCGTTCTGTACTGTTTGCTGCTGTTGGAACTGCAGGTCAACGCTGCACCACATGTCGTAGACTGGTAAGATGAACCTGTGTACTCTCCAATAGGCTCTCCTGAACGTATAGATTGTAGAACTAACTTTAGCATATGGAGGTTTCAGTAATCTGGAAGGTGACTAACTCGTCTTTCTTTATTGTGCAGCTTCTTCATGAGAGCATATATCAAAATTTTGTTGATCAATTAGTTGATGTCTACAAGCAAGTCAAAATTGGGGATCCCCTAGAGAAGGGTACTTTGTTAGGACCACTTCATACTCAAGCTTCAAAGGCAAATTTTCAGAGAGGCATAGAAGTTATAACATCCCAGGCAAGACAATTATGTACAAATTTATATCTGGGTGTTATTTCATTGCTTGTCTCTTTGTCTAAAAATGCAACACAAACTCATAAATTAAATGCAGGGGGGGAAGATTCTCAGTGGAGGATCTCATATAGAAACTGAAGGAAACTTTGTGCAGCCAACCATCATTGAGATATCTCCAGATGCACCAGTAGTTAAAGAGGAATTGTTTGGTCCTGTTCTTTACATCCTGAAGTTTAAGGTAAAAAAAGGGGTCAAATTTTTTGCACTCTCACCTATTTTCATTAAAATTCACCCTGTTAATGAATTCTTTGATGAAATTGATACTACATACAGACTCTGAAAGAAGCTATAGAAATAAACAATTCTGTTCCACAAGGTTTGAGTAGCTCAATCTTCACAAGGAGGCCAGAGGTTATCTTCAGATGGATTGGGTGTGTGTCTCTCTCTCTCTCTCTCTGGCACACACACAGATGCCCCCCACCATCCTCAAATGACATGGACACCCAGGCAACCAAACACACGCACACAATAACATTAAGTCATGCTTCTTATTGAGGAGCTTATCATATCTTATCCAATTTTATTTGCCATTATTCTTCATTATCCATCTGTTTTATGATTTCTAAATCGAGTTGAGAACAAAAATCAATTGTTTGTCATATTTGTGATGCAGACCTCATGGCAGTGACTGTGGCATAGTAAATGTAAATATTCCCACAAATGGCGCAGAGATTGGAGGTGCCTTTGGAGGTGAGAAAGCAACTGGAGGTGGCCGTGAAGCGGGAAGCGATTCATGGAAGCAATACATGCGCCGTTCAACATGGTAAATAATCACTGCTTTTTTTTTCTGTTGATATGTGTATACAGCACTTGAACCTATGTTCTGTTTTCTTTTTTCTAGGTTCTACTTGATAGCGTTATGGATCCAAGACCCCAATTCTATTTATACAGTTTGTATTATTAGACGACATTCTTGCTTGCCTTATTACCTCCAAGGCGTTTTTTAGTGGTGACCCGGATTGACCACCCCAAAAGGGTGGATTGGCAATCTGGATCCGAGAATCGGCCAGATTGGCTTGTTTCAGCCTTGAAAAAATTTAAAAAAATCACTAAAATTTCTTAAAAATCTAGTTTCTTATGTTCTCAAAGAAATTGGGGGTATTGCATTGTAGATTATTATTATTTTATGGAAAATATGCAAATATTGAGAACTTTTCTCAAAGAAATTGGGGGTATTGCATTGTAGATTTTTATTATTTTATTGAAAATATGCAAATATTGAGAACTTGTTTCATGCCTGAGTGTTTGTTGACCACTACCTCCATTTCATAGTCAAAATATAGTTTAAAATGTAACTCATTGCAATAAAATGGATCTCTCTAACTCAATTTTTTTTTGTATTTTTATAATCTCCATTATCAATTGCGCTTGTAAAAATAGGGGATCTTGCCTACTCATTTCTTATTTTTCTCTTTTCTGAAAATTAATTTATTGGATTATTTATTTGTTTCCATTTGTATTTTGTAATGAAGTTGCATAAATATAAGGATCAAAGCAATTTTTTTTGCCATATTTTTTTCGTGGAACTCCCTCCCTTGCTATATTGCTCTATAATTTTTTTCTAAATTTTCTTTTACTTCAATTTAACTTCATGTTTTCTTGTCCTAGAGTAACTTGTTAAACTTTCTTTTACTCGCCACTGTAAGCTTCATGTTGGGCTCAATTTTATTTTGGCACACTTTGATTCCAATAGCTTGGGTGATTGTGATGGCTCAATTTTCTTGTTAGTCTCAATTTCATTACTTGAATGAATGGCTTGAGCGAATGTGGTGGTTTGGACCGAATTTTATTCGCTGAGTGAAGGTGATGGTGTAAAAGGAGGGAAGCTTATATCCCATATCGGGGAGGAAGAGGTGGACATGGAGGGCACAAGCCTATAAATCACAGGGAGGTAAATAAATGTGATTTCCCACAAGAAGACCAAAAGTGGGCTGTTTCTTATTTTAAACTTTAAAGTAGTTTCCCATTGGACGTAATATGGTGGGCCCTTGTTTCGATTTTTAGAAAGAATAAAAAAGTTGTATAAGAAGGGATGGGCCTCATAACCACCTCTCTCTTAAAAAAAAACATTCAAATTTTTTAATCTGGTTCATGGACGATTCTGTCCGATTCTTTGACATAACTCACCGGTTCTGAACCGGCCGATGCATTGGGTGGGGGGGGGGGGGCACACCTGGTTCCTGATATATTATGGGAACCGGATCACTCAGGATGATTCGCGATCTGGATTGGGCGATTCCAATCTGGATTGGCGATATTTGGAACACTAATTACATCTATATTACATTATATTGCATTTGTATGTTCTACACTTACTACCACACTCACCTAACTCCACAGGATCATAATAGATAAGGTTTTATATGAGAGAGTGCAATTCTAAGTTAACACCTTTCTAAATATCAAAAGAGAATCTTGATAACCCCCAAAATGAAGGAATTATTGAAGGAAATCCATTTTTCCTGCTTAAAATCTAGGGTTCCTATAAGATATTAGATATTAGTTTTCCTACATTGCTAGTGGTAAGCCTGCGCCCCCTTTTTCCTATCTCTCTCTCTCTAACAGTCACAAAGAGACCCTTCTCTCTTTAACACTCACAAAGAGACCCATGTTTGGCCCAGGTTGAAACTAGTATATTACATATGCCTTCTTAGCTACCACTATATGTTGTGCGCTTTGTACTTTCCAATGGGCCCAAATGCAACTACATGTCATGAAATCTCATCGTTCATTTTGGTTTTGCAATGGATGTGACTATAGATTGTTATTCTATTATTGTTACTCTTTTGCTGATTGTTTGAGATATTTAATTATCTAAATTATGTTCTTGAGAATGTCAAAGCGTAGAAAGTCTTAAGGCTTCTCCAGACTAAATGTTTCGAGACCATAAACAGTGAGAACCAGTATACTTCTAGTTCAATTTTCAAATTGCAAGTATTAATCTTTTCATTTGAATTATTCAGGTCCAATTCTAACTATTTTTCTTAAACTTTTGTTCAATGAATGTACAGTACCATCAATTATGGAAATGAACTTCCTCTGGCCCAGGGTATAAACTTTGGCTAGCAGGTATGCTCCAAGATAAACATCTCTCTCTCTCTCTCTCTCTCTCTTAAACACTTCACGCATTGTTCTCTAACTCGATTGTGTTCGTTGTTTTCTTTTGTTTGGTTGTTAGGTCATTCCATTCTGCTCTGCTGCTTCCACAAGAGTAAAGATAGGGCCCAACAAGAAGTGATCTCTCTGCATCGCTTAGTGGTCAGTATGGCATCATCAAACATCGGTGTTTCCTTGTTACAGGCCTTGACTGTCTCAATGTCGGTCTGTCTAACCTTTTTCTACTTTGAATAATCAATAAGAATGTATCGTAAGTATTTCTTATCAGAAGAGGGAGGCCTTGACTGTCTAAATGTCGGTCTTTCTAACCTTTTTCTACTTTGAATAATCAATAGGAATGTATCTTAAGTATTTCTTATCCAAAGAGGGAAGAGACCCAATAATCCTAGACAAAAAAATGACTGCCATGCCTTGGTTACATGTCTTATTACCACAGGAAATTAACTTTTTGCATCCCCCATATTCACATAATTGTATACCCATTAAATCCATTGTTCCTAAATGTATAGAAGGATGGGGAACTGATACTAGGAACTGCAATGCATCTCAAATTTATGGAAATATGTTACCGATATATGTCCATTCATGTTCATGAATTAGAAATTCTAAAAATAGTGCAGGTGATTTTCAATAATTAAATTGAATGGTTCTACTAATTTTTAGGTGAAAAGTATACAATGAGACCATCTATTTTTGGTACAAGGAGGTCACAATTATTTATAACCATCCAATGTGAAATTGGATGGTTGTATTTATTCTATTGACCAAGCACAAACTTCAAAATAAATTCTCCCATATTTTGCAGCACACCCAAGCTATCAAATTTGATATTGGATGGTCTCATTGTATACAATCCCATTTTTAGGACTCTTGACTCTTTTTTTATCATATTTTATGAATGCAGTGGACTAGGTGATAAAGATTTGTTTATGGATTCAAAATACATTTCCAAGAGGAATTTTTTTTTTATTGGGCAGGCTTTTTATACTTTCCCACCAGCATAGAAGTTCTATCATCCTTTTTATCCAACCCTCCATTCTGAATGGAGGGTTAAGACTGCCCCAATCACAATGTCAGGTATCTACACTATTTTACTTTTAATTTTTTTTTTTATAAACTATTTTGACACTAAATTTTGGACGTCCATTCTTCTATTAAACTCGCACTAGCGAAAAATATAAAAAAAATATTTTTAATAAAATAAAATGACCAAAATATCTTTGAAAGTCTTAAGGGGTATTTTGGTCATTATATTTTATCAAAAAATTATTTTTAATATTTTTTATAGGCGTGCCCCAATGAGAAGATGGCATGTACCAACTTCATATTCATACAATTTGTATGTAAAAAAACTTAAAATAAAATTTCTTAAGAGGTCGGATCTAAGATCAAATGGTGAGTGGTTCTTTTGATCAAAATTGATCGGCTAGATGGTAGGGGGCGGATAGAACTTTTATACTGTAGGGAAAGCATAAAAACCTTTTTCTTTTTTATTATTTTAGTGATCAGTGGTGACGTGGGCCTCTACCCGTTTTATTAGAGAGTTTCCAATGGGGGTGAGTCCACGCATCACGTGTATCCTTGGGTACACCTAACCGCCATCTTTTCATAAGTTTAGCCGCATAATGAGGCTGGGGCATTGGTGACTAGAACAAAACACCCCCACCTCTAGACCCACCATTATTCTATCATCACCACAAAAAACAGATGTTTTGCCCCAAGTGCCTTATTGGTAAATAGGATGGTATATAATGAGATCATTTATCTTTTATATAGGGAGGTTACAATTATTTACAATTAGATGTAAAATCTGATAGTTTGGGTCTTTTATAAAGTTTAAAAAAAATTTAAATTTTTTTTGAGTTTGATCAATGAAATAAATGCATCCACTTAATTTCACATCCAATGGACAAGATTAATTGTGACGACTTTATACCGAAAGTAAATGATCTCATTATATATTTTTTCTTAGTGAATTTACCAAAAAGATTGTATAATATAGTTTTTATGTCATAATTACTCATAGCCATTAAATGTAAAATTGAAAAACTAGAGCTACGTTACGAAGCTCAAAAAAAAATGATGAGGAATATTCTACGGATGGTATAGTTTGATTGATTTAAGTTAAGTAGATGAGAAGACGTAGAGTTGTTAAGAAATCTCCCCAATAATTTGCTTGTGATTGGTGGGATACCCAGCAACCCCAAATAAACATATCACACGATATGACCTAAAACTCGACATGCCAACACATGACTCCCTACATTTGGGGTGCAATCACGTGATGTGAGAAGAACACGCTGCTTGTACCAATGGAGTGAGAGTAGATGTGCAATTTTAGTGAGAGAGATTAGATTTAAAATATGGGTGAGGTTTGCGTAAGATGTTTCATTTTTTTACTATTGAAGTGTACCTATAAACTAAGTTGAAAATGCAATTCTGCCGCTGGAAAGTAGTGTGATGATATGAAATTTTTTTGCTGCTCCAATTATGAAATTTAAAGTTCTAAAATTAGTGGCGATGAACAGATTTACAAACACTTGACAATTTTAAAAATAGAGAATTTAGATAATATTTTAAAAAATAAATTATTTTTAGGACTAAATTTTTTTTTATATGGATCTCAAGGTTGAGACGATTGATTTGATTGTTTTATAGCATTGGAAAAACTTTCTTCTTTTCCAATGAAGTTTTAGGGTGCACTTTACTTGTACGTTACAAAGGTGACCAAACTTTTTCCTTAAAAGATAATAAATATAGTAGGGAGAGAGGCTACACTCCTTTAACGTAGCCCTCCAATTTTAGTTAGAGAGAGAGAGAGATGTGCAACTTTACTGAGGAGAGGCTGGACTGGTAGGGATGAGAGGCTAGACTTCCAATTTTAGTAGAGAGAGAGGCTAGACCTCTTTTTCTATATCAAGAGTCTAGACCTATCACAACCCGGTGGCTACAGAAATTTAATTTTGTTTTTGTTATTTTTATTTTTAGAGATATGGGTAGTTTTTTAATGAGAAAATTATAAAAGCTCTTTAAAATAGACTATCTATGCAACTTACCCCATTTCAATGTTTTCTCTCACTTTTTTCTCCAAAACAACATTTCTTTTCAAAAAACCCCCAAGGTAAAAAGTTGTAGTTTTTTTGGACAGAAATACCCTTCCCGTACAAACCAAATCAATTCGCGGGTCTCAAGTAGCGTATTACCGGAGCACATTCTCATAATGCCGGAGCGCTGTGGCTTAGACATGCATTACCATAGCGCACATTCAGAATGCCGGAGCGCGGTCCTCCATTGCCAGAGCGTTGTGGCTCCAGAGACTTCATTGCCAGAGCGCAGTCCTCCATTGCTAGAGCGCTGTGGCTCCAGAGACTTCATTACCGGAGCGGAATGTCGGAGCGCGTCTTTGCACTACCAGAGCGAGTTCTCATAATGCCGGAGTGTTGCGGCTCAGACCTGCATTGCCGGAGCGCATATTCAGGAGTGTGTGTTTGTACTGCCAGAGCGCGCGTGAAAACATGAGAGAGAAGGCCGTTTGAAAACAAATAAGGGCAGTTTAGTCTTATTTCATGCTACTTTTGGATTGGGGGGGTTATTTGCGATGAAAGATTGTTTGGGGGAAAAAAGTGAGAGAAAATATTGGGGTGGGTGTAAGTTGCATAGATAGTCCATTTTAGGGGTTTTTTTGTAATTTTTTATTTTTTCTTTATTTATTAGGGTTAATTATTAAAAATAGGAATTTTGGTTTAGTTTGATAAAGTCTAATTTTAGGAAGTATGTTTTACTTAGGATTAAGTTTGTATATTTTTTAAGGACAAATCTTCTTCTTTTGAAAGAGCTGGTCATCGTTTCTATTCTAGAAAATATCCATTTTTGTTAATCTTAAAAATAGACTTTATCTATTGGAAGGTAAAATCATTTACATATATCCTTTAGGAGCTATAGTTAAAACATGGGTACTATGGAATATGTTGATCCTTTTATTAAGGTATGGCTTGGGTATATAATGGGTCGCCCACTGGAAATGAAGAAGTTGGGAGTTGTAGTTATCTTTTAGGAAAGTTGGATTGAAGAATATGGAAATAATCTAGAAATAGATCTATTTTGATTAGTTATTAGTAGGGAGATATATTTTGGATTATCTTTTGAGAGTTAGTGAGATGATGTTTTAAATGTATAAAAGAAGGAGGCATGGATATTGTAATGGGGAATTGAATTTTGCTAACGAAGAAAAAATGATATTTAAGATCATATAGAGTAAGAGAGAGAGAGCCCTTTGTGGGTATCGTATAGAGTGTGAGAGAGAACCCTTTGTAGTTATCGTATAGAGTGAGAGAGAGAGAGAGCCCTTTGTGGGTATCGTATAGAGTGAGTGAGAGAGAGAGCCTTTTGTAGGTCTTTTTTCTTTTCTTTTGCTCATGGGCTTGTGCCGGAATATTCGTATCCGTACGTTTTTATTATTTCTTCTTGTGATTTCCTTCACAATTTTTATTTCTCTATCTTAAACTCAATTAATTTTATCGGTGTTGTTTTCCGATAAATTTTATATTGCGTCAACCTCCAATTTTAGTGTAAAGGCCTCCAATTTTAATTAGAGGGAGTGTGAGGAAACCTCCAATTCTGGAGAGACTAGACCACCAAGTTTGATAGAAAGACTTGGATTTTAATATGGAAAATGTTTTGATTGGGCTGCAGACATGTTAAAACAAGTAAAGCCCCACTTCAAAAATTACCAAAAATTTCAATTATGGAGTCGAAAGACACTTTCAAACCAAGCATCTTGACCTTGACTGTCATCTTGAAAAAAAATTAGGATTTCATGCTCTAGAAATAATATATATTGTAACACATTATCCAAGATGTCAAATTTGCCCTAAAAATAAGTGTTCACGAATCCACAAGATTTGTACCATCTTTTAGCGTCAAATTTTATAGTCTGTATTGGAAATAGATTTAGAGTCATCATGGAGATTTCTAATGAGAATTCGAGATGAGGCTTTATTTTGTTTTCATAAAACCTAAGTTTTATAGAAACTTCATCCTTTTAATTGTCCAGGTGTCCAATTTAGTAAAGAGGGAGATTCTAGACCTCTAAGTTTAGTAAACAGAAACTGGATTCAAGTTTAGGGGAGAAAGAGATCTAAGTTTTAGGAGACAGAGATTAGATCTTCAATATCAGGAAAGAATCTCTATAGATCTCCAAGTTTAGTAGAGAGAGGGAGAGAGATATACCAAACTTAGTAGAAAAAGGAGACTAGATCTCCAATTTTAGAAGAGAGAAAAGAGACCTCTAATTTTGGTAGAGAGAGACTTTGGACCTCCAAGTTTAGTGAAGGGATAGAAACCGGACCTCCAAAGTTTAATAGAGAGAAAAAGGATCTCCAATTTTGGTAGAGAGAGAGTCTAGACCTCCAAGTTTAGTGAAGGAAGAGACTAAACCTCCAATTTTGTGGGGAGAGATTAGACCTCCAGTTTTACTGGAGAGAGAGAAACTGTGATTTTGTATTGGGTGAGGTTTGTATGAGGTTGCCTCCTTATACTGTGGAAATAAGTTGCGCATATAAAATTTACTTAG